GTCCCCTAGTTTCGGAAACCCCCATGTGGGAAAGTAATGTAGGGGCCTTAATGATTGGAATAGGGTTTAGGGTTTAGGCGTTGATAATTAAAATAGGGTTTTGGGGTCTAGGGTTTAGGGTTTAGGGCTTAATAACTAGAATAGGGTTTGGGGCCCATTCTACTATAGTTTTTTTCATACAGGCACCCATCATTTAGACCCCTCTAGTATCCCCTGTAACAGTGCACAGGACCCTTTTGGGCAAACCGGGGATGTTCACATTGCCCATAGTGCATGGGCACCCCTTCTTTCAAGCCTGGTGGTCTGTAGGGCTTAGGGTTCATGGTTCAGGAGCTGAGGTTTAGGGTTTAGGGTTTAGGTTGACATCTTCGGCCCAACAGCGATTCGGAATTGCCGCCTTAAACTTGTGGGCCTTGCAGTTCGGCGGCTTCGGGTTTAGGGTTCATTAGGCTTAAACCCTATAGACCCTAAACCCCTTTGGGGTAAATAGGGCTAAGGAATACAACCTAAACCTTAAACCCAAAGCCCTAAACCGACGATTTCAGCACTTCGGGTCTCTGCTTAGAGCCCGGCAGGGGTCAAGCCCGCGAACTCGGGCGCTACGATCTCCACCTGAAGGGCAGGGGCCCTTTGGAAGAAGGAGCTGAGGTTTAGGGCTCTGGCTCCACTGGTCCTTGCCCTAAACCCTAAACCCAAACCCTAAACCGTTCAAAGTTCGAGATTCGAGCCTACCGTATCGGGTCTGACACAAAGCCTGGTTCTCTCGTATTGCCGATCAACAGGATCTATGCAGGTTTGTCCCTAAATCCTAAACCCTAGCCGGATTTTTCCAGGCCATGTTGCTGACAGCATCCGGGTGCTGCTGCCGAACCCGAAACCGAAAAACCCGAACTGAACAGTAGCACAAACACATCCGGCAAGAAAAGTAGCTACACACGAACATAACGACAACGCAAAGACCAAACCACACCAAACCCGCCCCACCCCGAATCTTTGCCCTAAACCCTAAACCCCTGAACCCTAAACCGTAAACCCCTAAACCCCTAAACCCTAAACCCCTAAACCCTAAACCCCTAAACCCCTAAACCCTCGCCAACTCAACTCTGAACTCATCTTTGGGTCTCCGGCGGAGAAGTGAGACTCGCCAGTCAGACCTAAAGCGTCGTGTTGGGGTTTAGACGCTTAAAGGTTTAGGGCTTTAGGTTTAGGGGTTCAGTTTAAAGGTTTAGGGTTTTGAGTTTAGGGGTTTAGGTGTTTTAATTTGGGGGGTTCAGGTCGGACTTCATTTTCGGGTAATGAGCTTTGGATTTAAAGTTTCTGGTGTCGGACTTCCGTTCACGGTGTGGAGTTGTCGGTTTAAGGCACAGGGTGCCGGCTTTTGCTCGGGGATTTGGGTAGAAAACCCCCAATAAGGCCTATCGATAGGGCTCGGGGTTTAGGGTTTAGGGTTTAGGGTTCGTATGGGCATTTGTGTGAGGGTAAACGACCAGTACCAGAATCACTAGTCACTTGGAGCGCTACCACAAGGCGCGGGCCTTAGAAACCCGGCTCAGGTGGCCTAAACCCTAAGCCCTCAACCCTAAACCATAAACCCTAAACCCTAAACCCTAAGCCCTCAACCCTAAAGCCGCCGCAGGTGCGCGGAGCGGAAGATTTAGGGTTCATTCTACTTGAACATTGACTGTCTGGTGCTTAGTAGGGAATGGGGGAATGGGATATAGGGTTTAGGGTTTAGGGTTTAGGGTTTAGGGGAATGGGTTCTAGGGACTACCATAAGGGACCTTAAGGGACTATCATAGGGATCCATTCCCGCATTCCCTACTAAGCACCAGACAGTTGATTGCACCATTTCTCGGCGCTTGATAAGGTTGGCGGTGCAATGTCCATCAGAGCATCCCTCATGACTGCGTCAATGGGCTGCGCCCTTCGATTTAGGGCTTCTGGCTGGCGGCAATCCCATTACTGTGAGCCGAGGCGAACTCAAGGGCAGCCGGCTGACCGAAGACACCCAAAACTGCAAGTCGCAACCTTAAGCCGCAAGCCTGCATCTTATCCCAAACTACATGGGAAACCCGAAACCAACCCGCAGTCTAAACCTAAACCCGACATGTTAAGCCCCAAGCCATAAGCCCAAAAACCCCTTCAGTACCCATGTAGAACTCTAACAGGAAACCTTCCACGAACTGGACTGAACCTCTCTCTTCTCTGCTTGCAAGCCCCGGAACCCATCTCCAGCGCGCCGGCATCTCCCTCGTGCGCTGCCTCTTGACACGGCCATTTAGGGTTGAGAGGATTCAGGTTCCAGGATTTGGGGGTTAGGGAACTACCTTAAGAACTTTTTTGTAGTGTCCCTATGAATCTTATATTAGGGTGTATAATAAGAACCTACAGTAAAGTGGGTTTTGGGCTCTTAAGGTAGTGACAGGATCATTCGACTTGGCAACTAGGGTTTTCAACTAGAATGAAGAACCAGCCTCACTTACTTGATCCCCTGATCCTCCATGTGATCAACTTGTGCGGGACGCTGAAGGATTTTCGGAACAGGGATGCTGTCAGCTCTATTCGAGCTTGTGTAGACCATGGTGAGCGACACTGGCAAACAAGATTCATACATTCTGCCTACCACCCTCTAATCCAAAGTCTCCACACCACCTGCAACTGGACCGCAAAATTTAACCCTGCATCAACACTACCAAAATCACATACTTTTATTCATTTCCCTTAAGCCGAATACCCTGGCCCAAAAAAGTTTAAACTTTTCTTTTAGTAGGGGTTTAATATACCAAAAACGTTTAAAGTTTACCTATTGGGCTCCTAAGGTCCTAAGATTTTGTAGCATGTGGAAGCGCCCCTGGAAGCCTCTCGCGCTACTGCCCTGAAGTTTCAAGGGAGCAGCCAGGGCTTGGGGCTGTGAGGCGCTGCTTTATTCTTAATTTTTGAAGCCCCCTTTTGATTCCGGCAAAATCCACGTTAAGAAGGCTGTGAGGGCTTTAGGGTTTAGGGTCACGGTTTAGGGTTTAGGGTTTAGGGTTTAGGGCGAGGCGTTATCGCACCAACCAGCTACACGATGGTTTGCCTTGCTCCAAGCAAGTTCGGGCTTGACGGTCGCTCTTCAGGCAACATACTGCAGGAACCTGGCTTATTGGAGAAACTTTCTCGACTGTGAGAGAGAGACACCGACTAGGAAACAAGCACAGAAAGCGAACCGATAAATTAGTAAAGAAACGTAAATAGTACTTATGTTTTACGTCCTTAGATAACTATTCATCCGTAACATCATCGTAGATGCTTATCAGTCGAGGCTCCTGTGCGATGAAGAAACTCCACAATCACAGACATCGAGAATCCTCTAGGGTTTGGGGCCGGGGTATATCATACCATAATCACAAGAAGGAACCTCCAAAAGAATAGTAATTGGTAATTATTTTGGCTTCTATATTGAGGCCTTGGGGGTTTTACGGTTCGGGTCTTGGGATGGCAGGCTTTTCGGGGGAGTGAGCCGTTCCTTCTGGTTGTATGCCGGCTCAAGATCTATATGCGTAGCTCTCTAAACTAGGGCCCCTTCTTGGGTCCCCAATATAGTACGGCACCCGTACAAAGGATCCTAAAAGGGACCCTACTTTGGAGAACTACCCATATAGTAGTCCTGTGAGCACTGCAATAGTCCTTCAATCCTCACTTTTCAACCAACACAAGACAAAGCCACGAACACCCTATACACCGTACAACCTGGGATTGATGAGTCGGCTTCCCGAAAACATCTGAAACCAATCTTGAAACCCATAGAACCCTTACAAGCCCAGCTCTAGATTGGGAGTCTTAGCGAGACCCCCCTGAACCCAAAACCCAAAACCCTAAACCCAAAGCCCCTAAACCCCGAAACCCTAAAACACTAAACCCTAAACCCCCAAACCCGCGGTAGGTGGCCGGACGGACTCGTCCACGACTTTCAGCCCGACAAGGGTGAAGCTGCCATCCTCGGATCCGAAGTCCGGGGCCGGGTCCAGGTTTTAGGGTTTAGGGCCTGTTTAGGGTTTAGGGTTTAGGCTTTGGGGTTTAGGGTTCAGGAGTGAAGCTTCCATCCTCGGATCGGAGGGTCGGTGCTTAGGGAGTTGGGGGCTTTCGAGCTTCGGGGCTTTGGGTTTAGGGTTTAGGGTTTAGGATTTAGGCTGAAAGGGTTTAGGTTTTTTTTGTTTAGGGTTTAGGGTTTGGGGTTTAGGGTTTAGGATTTAGGGCTTTGGGATTTAGGATTTAGGGTTTAGGGGTTTAGGGTTTAGGATTTGGGGTTTAGGGTTTAGGGTTTAGGGTGCTTAGGAAGTTGAGGCTTTCGAGCTTCCGGATTTTGGGTAGGGCTTGGGGAGTTTAGGGAGTTTAGGGTTTTGGGAGTTCAGAGTTTGGAAGATTTGAGGTTCAGGGTTGGAGGTCTGCGATCCTCAGGCAAAAGGCCGCAAACTCGAAGGACTCGACAGATCGCTGGGTCCGGTGGTACACTCCAAGCCCTTGTGGCGCGAGTTCGGACGCTCTTTGGCCTGGGATTCAGGCTCAGAATCTCGATAGGGTGGCCGCTTCGGGCTTTCGGGCCTTCCCATAGGCCCTAAAGTTGCCCTAAAGTAGTTCCGTTTTGGGGTTCATATATAGAATCCTATAAGGTAATCCTAAAAAGGAACTTGGGGCCTATGGGTAGATTCAGGGTGCACGGCTGGTGTGCAGTGCGTACTTAAAAGCAGCTGCGGGATGGGCAAGAAAGCATGAAGCCAAGTCTCCAAAGCTTTGCAGAGAGCGGTAGCTGTAGGCCTGCTGTGGCGTCTGTCTCTTGTGCTATCCACGGTTGTTTTGCTGATGATGATGCCGGTGATGACGATGATGCGAATGTTGATGGTGGTGGTGGTGGTGGT